TTTGGGTTGGATTACATGAATGATTTGTGTTGCATTAACTGAAACTGGGCCATGCTTGTTAGTTCCCAGCATGCTTTATAGCTGAATTAAGAGAGACTAAATGGTGAAATTAAGTGATATTTTATGTGTTTTTGAGAAAATTAGGAAAGGGGAAGACTTTATAGTGTGTAATTGTGTTTAATGTTCAATTACATTGCAATTATTAGAACCATTTAAATTAGTGGGTTACCATTGTGGAGAAGAGTGGAGCATTTGGTTAGGATGTGGACTGATTCAGATAAAGTCTTAGTCATCTTGCTGAAAATGCATATAAATCTTAGCATTTAAATGTTAATAAGTGCTATTATTAGCTAATAGCTAGCTATAGTCTAGAAATCCTACATACTTTTATTTATCAGTGCAGTTTTAAAAAAAACTAAAGCATATTCACTAAACTTAACCGATTTAAGTTACAGGGAAGCAATTCCATTGATTTGTTTGTACATTACTATTTCACATAGATTCTCTCTCATTCAGTTGTGTTGTCACAACACAAGGAGCTTACATAGATTCAAAATAATTTGATTGTGTGGAATTTTTTTTGAGTGTGTATTTAACCCTAAACCAAACCCCAGTCCTAACCCTAACCCTAAGTACATGTAGTTAACTATTATTACTCAGTACTTAAATGTATAATTACACTATAATATTGACACCTTAAAATAAAGTGTAACCAAAATCACTTTAGTCCTGATTCCAACTCTACATATTAATTATACCAAGAAAACACATCACATAACATTGGCTATGAAGAAACGGCATATTTAACAGAAATACTGTACGTAGAGTTAGCCAAATAACTACCGTTAACTGCTGAAGCCGAAGCCATGTGATGCCAAGACTTTCCCGGTAAAAAACTTGTTGTTTCAACTTAAAAAAGTAAGTGTTCATGCTGCCTTCAAATTTTAAGTTTAGTCTAATTGAAATGTGAAGTTGTACTAAGTTACAAGTTAAGTTATTTGAGTTGACTAAACTTAACATTTTAAGGCAGTATGAACACTTACTTTACAAGTTGAAACAACATTTTCTTTTTTACAGCGTTCCAACTTGTAATTATGAGTTTGGCAATATAGTTCTTTACTAGTCGGAAGCTAGTAATTAAGTTAATTCCAACATGACGTGAACGCAACATAACCTTCAAACCTGTTATGATTAGCTGTGTCACTTTACAGCATTTTTGCTTTCAGCGAGGACAGAAAAATGACTTGTCACTGGAAACGTGTTGCTTGAGTCTGTTTAACTCAAGGTGTAAGAGTATCTCCTCAAATAGAGGCATGTTAACATGTGAAATACAATCTAAACTGGACGGGTGTGAAACGCACTAGTTGTTTCGTTCAAAGCAACAGGCGATGTGTCATCTGTCTTTTCCCAGTCCTGTAGGTCTGTTCCCATCTGCCTCTGGTAGAACAGAGGGTGTGAATGTGTTTGCGAGGGTCGACAGCAGGACACACAGAGCTCCGTCTGTCTGCGTTCATCGAACAGAATGACCCCAACAGGCCCAGAACAGCTGACAGGAAGACCGGAGAAATGACACTGACTCCATTTTCATTTGTCACTCACTTGCTCTCTATCTAATTTCTGCCTCTCTCTTCACATGTTGCTTCAGTTACGCCCCCGTTCGCTTGCTCGTTCAGTTTCAAAGCTCATTTGTAACTTGTGCTTAGCTGTTCTGCAAGCGCACAATTCAGTTCGGTGAAACCATTTACAAGTGTCCTTATAAATGGCATAATGTCCATAACTACTACTCCACATTAACATTATTTGAAAGCTGATAAAATGAACACATTAAATGAACTACAAGTTGCTTTGGATAAAAGTATGTCAAATAAAAAAAAAATTCTGTCAGAAAAATATTTTTTCTGTAAAATTCGCTTTACTTGGACCTGATTTGTCTCTATTAATAGCCAAATTGAGCTTGAATGCACATGCACTTTGGAAATGCAAAACTGCACATATATTTTAAAAATGCACATAAAAAAAACATATGTGCTCAACTGTGGTGGATAATTTTTAATCCGATAAGAAGACGTGCATATAAACTGGGATGGAAACACATTTACCAAATAAATCCCTCAATGCGCAACTAAATCTCAGGTCACTTTGAGTCAACAGAGGATGTGATTGGATAACTGGACTAACCAGCGGACCAATCACATCCCACGGCATCCTAAATGCTGGTTTGGTCGCTCTGAAATGCCTGAGCCAAAGTTTGTCATCAAAATGGTTTGGTATAATGACCTCCCAGAAGTGTCGCACATGATTGCATTCTCAAACATAGATAACAAAGATAACATCACAGCGTTTACCGCGTTTCGTCTGCGCGAGACGCAAGTCATATATGATGTAGGAAAAAAGACCCACAGTTTCCTCCCTGATTGCCGCAACTTCCATTTTTATTAGAGATATTTTGCGCCAATTTTCTCAGCAAGCGACGATTTTGTTCTCTTGGATGGAAATGGTGCTTGATCCACAAATGTTTTATGCGATATTCCAATTTTGAGTTAGGGATGGAAACATAGCTTATTACTTAAAAACAAAACAGTGCCTTCCCACAGAGATAAACTGGATTTTGAGTCGTTTGGTAAATAAGACAAAGGCTTGCACTGAAATACTACTAGCGAAAGTGCTAAATTGTTATGCGAATTCACCCCAATCAGTTTGATTCTTGATTAAATGTGCTGTCTACTCTGAGGTCTACAGTGGAATTACGCTGCGTTACGGTCCAAATGGCCTGGATTTGGGTCAGGCACTGTCATCACTGTGCCGAGTGGGATTACAGACTGAAAGAGAGCTAAACAGCCGCTTGTTGGTGGCGAATGCGCCACACGGCATTACTGAAGCTCCAGTGAGCACAGACAGAAATGTGATGGAGACGGTTACCTACTAACACAAACTCAGAGTGTTGACCTACATGAGATCTGAAGAAACACAGCTTCAGTGCAATACAATCAGATGCACACAGAGCGCAATGTGTCCATTTAAAACGTTCATTCACTGCAATTTCCCATCATGCATCATTATTGTCTGAATACACGAGAGTCGCCATTTAAATGAGTAATTCGAATTTATTTTATTTTACGACTATGTGCATTTTAAAGGGTTAGTTCGCACAAAAATGAAAATTCAGTCATCATTTACTCACCCTTATGTTGTTCCAAACCTCCTGTATGAGTTTCTTTCTTCTGTTGAACTAAAAAGAAGATATTTTGAAGAATGTTGATACCCTTTGACTTCCATAGTAGGAAAAATGTCTACCGTCAGCTGTCTGGTTACCAACATTCTTCAAAATATTGTCTTTTGTGTTCAACAGAAGAAAGAAACTCATACAGGTTTGGAACAACTTGAGGGTGAGTAAAAATGATTTAATTTTTGGGTGAACTATCCCTTTAATAACTTGAACATATCGCAATAGACAGATTCAAAGCATTACAATCAGTTTCTGCAAAATTCCCTCAGGTAATCATCAAATATTCAGATCAGTTTTTCAATTTTTCAGTTTTTCTTGCATATTTGGTTATTTTTTTGTACCACATCACATAACTTTTATAGTGGCATCTGATGTCCAGTTGGTTTGCAAATGAATCATGTCGATTTTGCGTAATTCATCATTTACTAGTAAATCGCATCAAATGGAGCATCTGCTCAATTATTTGGCCAATTTCACTTAAAAAAAAAACAATAACGGATGATAAAATGGTGTCGTAGAACATTGATCTAATTCTTAACGAATAATTTCTTCAGGCTACAAAACTATTACGAAAACGCTTTAGAATATCTTGCATTAGTCATTAGCAAACATTATGTAACGCTGAACAGACTCAACATACACTAAAATACATATTCAAAATATAAAAATCAAAGTTTCTAGTCCCAGCCTTAGTCTGTTCACATTTCACTGGATTTTCCAGGATTGCTATACATTTTTGAAAGTTAGTCTATTCATTTATCTTTAATCATGTATTTTAAAAAAAACTAAACAAACTCTGGTTGGTCGCTTCACATGTCACTCTCTTCCTTTCTAAATGGACGTTTTTTGGCCAGATTAATCTGAAAGGTGGACCAGACTTTATGTATATATCTCAAACTATGTTTTTTTACGCAATAATGTTTGTTTATAACTTAATAAAGTTAAAGTTATGTAACGCTGATAATACTGGAATCAAACTGAATGGTGGTTGGATCAGTCATCACACACACATCGATACGGGGCGGTGCCATGATGCAACAGTTAACCGCTACTCACAGACAGAAAGCATCATGTTCATCCATGAGGATGAGGAGGCTGAGGTTTGCTTCATACTCTTATGACAGAGAGATGAAGGTGACTGCAACCCTAATAAACCTGTTAAATGTCTAGAAGATGCACACATTTGGACATTAATATTCAATTAATTATTTAAAATGTGAATTAAAATTCCATTCATGATCAATCATATTCAGCATATGACCATATTTGGACATTAACATTAAAATTATAATTAATAATGTACATGATATGCTCATATTTGAATATTAATAGTCAATTAATAATTCAGAATGCTGTGTATTTGGGCATTAATATTCAGTTCATAAGTAATAATGTTCAGCAAATGTCCATATTTGAACATTATTATTAATTCAATGTGAATAACGTCCAACATCATCATGCACGTCTCATTTTTCGTCTTAAAAAACGGATTAAAGCAAGCGTTTATACATTGTTTTTCCATCACTGGCATCAAAATATAAGATTGTTTATCTTATTCTTGAACAGAATCAGTGATATATACATAATAATCATATTTGTGTTTCTAATGGCCTCAGTGGGGTCCAGCCCTGCCATGATGGAGATGCACTTGTTTTCACAGTGGCGCAATAATGCAACAAACGCCTTATTATGGTAATAAATCAATTCAAATGCTTCATAACACGCTGCAGAAGTATTAAACGCTGAAAAACGCTAATTAATGAGGGTCACTCACCCAGAACACGAAGGAATAGACGATGAGGAGCGTTTTGAGGCAGGTTATGACTGGTTTGGTCTCCATTCTCCTTGATGCCATGAGCGCAGTGGGTTTGTGCTGCTGTGATTCTCCGCTGCCTCTGCGCTCCAGTCACTCTAGATCCGCCTCGCCAATCAGAGGGCGAGATACCCCGCAAAGGTCCCGCCCTACTCTAACAGGCCAATCAGAGGGAGCGAAGGGGACGTTCAATCCCCGCCCTTGAGACACGACGCCCTCTGCTGGACGTCACATGACAGTGACGACAGTTGCGCTAAAGGTGAGGTAGGTGCCTTTGCGTCATTGAAACAGTGATGAAAAAAAATATTTTCATTTCATTGACTGTCCTTTATTGGTTTTACTAGCCTTCAATCATTTAATAAACGTATAAAGCATAATTTTAAGCATTTTATGCAAACATCGATATCAATAAAATAAATAACAAATATATATATAACAAAGGATTAATTATAATAACTAAGTAATGAATTTTCTGTATATAATTAGTATTTATTTAATTTAAAAAAAATCATTTTGTCTGTCCTTGATTGACTTTGCATACAATTTTTTTTTTTTAATACAGACATTGTAGGCTTTGGAAACTAAAAAGCTCTCATAATATAAATATTGATGCCAATAAAATTAAATTAAATTTCTCAGTGTATTTTATTTGCATTTATTTATATTAAAGAACAAGGGGGACTTGGTGGTGCTGTGGTTGGACCTCACAAACGCCTATGGGTCCATACCCCACAAACTGGTTGAGGAGGCTCTACGCCGGCACTACGTCCCAGACAAGTTTAGAGACCTCATTCTGGACTACTACGACAGTTTCAGTCTGAGAGTCTCTGCGGGGTCTACAACATCAGACTGGCACAGGCTCGAGAAGGGCATTATCACTGGGTGTACAATTTCAGTGATATTATTCGCACTCGCCATGAATATGCTGGTGAAGGCTACAGAGGTCCAGTGCAGAGGTCCCCTCACCAAGTCCGGTGTCCGCCAGCCGCCCATTAGGGCTTTCATGGACGATCTGACGGTGACAACACCACACGTCCCAGGGGCCAGGTGGATCCTGAAGGGCCTGGAAGAGATGACAACCTGGTCTCGCATGTGCTTCAAGCCAACAAAGTCCAGATCACTAGTGTTGAAGAAAGGAAAGGTTACCAACAAGTTCCGCTTCACACTAGGCAAGACCCTGATACCATCAATCTCTGAGAAACCAGTGAAGAGCTTGGGAAAGGTGTTCGATTGCAGCCTGAAAGACACGGCAGCCATCCGTGCAACCAACCTTGAACTGGAAGGCTGGCTAGCCGCAGTGGACAAGTCAGGCCTACCTGGCAAGTTCAAGGCTTGGATTTACCAGCATGGCATCCTCCCACGGATTCTCTGGCCCCTCCTGATTTATGAGGTTCCAATCTCCACCATCGAGGGCTTTGAGAGGAGAGTCAGCAGGTTTCTACGGAAGTGGCTGGGTCTACCTCGAAGCCTGAGCAGCATCGCTTTGTACGGCCAGAGCAACAAGCTGAAGCTCCCTATCAGAAGCCTGAATGAGGAGTTCAAGGTGGGCCGTGCCAGGGAGGTGCTGCAATACAGAGAGTCACAGGACCCAAAGGTCTCCCAGGCTGGGATCGAGGTGAGGACAGGGCGGAGGTGGAGGGCAGCAGAGGGGGTGAATGTTGCTGAGTCGCGGCTACGGCACAGGGCACTGGTGGGAGCAGTGACTCATGGAAGAGCTGGCCTGGGCAGCGGTACAACATCTCACTACAACAAGGCACATGGGAAGGACAGGAGATCACTGGTGCAGCATGAGGTGCGGGCAGGAGTAGAGGAGGAGCGAGCCAGCAGGATGGTTGGAATGCGGCAGCAGGGAGCCTGGACAAGATGGGAGCATGCAGTGGACCGCAAGGTCTCATGGGCAGAGCTGTGGAAAGCAGAACCCCATCGCATACGGTTCTTGATCCAGGCTGTCTACGATGTACTACCGAGCCCATCCAATCTGTTCAGCTGGGGATTGGTGGAGTCACCAGCCTGCAACCTCTGCCTGAAGAGGGGGACCCTGGAGCATATCCTCAGCTGCTGTTCGAAGGCACTGGGCGAGGGGCGCTATCGTTGGCGCCATGACCAAGTCCTGAAGGCCGTAGCGAATACCATCAGCTGTGGAATTGGCCACTGCAAACGCCTCCGCCCAGCTAAGAACAATATTGCTTTCATCCGGGCTGGGGAGAAGCCACCATTAGCTGCCAGGGCCACCTCATCTGGCCTGCTAGCAACAGCACAAGACTGGGAGTTGAAAGTTGACCTGGAGAAGCAACTGAAGTTCCCAGAAACTGTCGCCACCACAACGCTGCGGCCTGACATGTTGCTCATCTCAGAGACCTCCAAGCAGATCGTTCTCCTGGAACTCACCGTACCCTGGGAGGACCGCATCGAGGAGGCCAATGAGAGGAAGAGGGCAAAATATGCTGAGCTAGTGGAGGAGTGCCGGAACAATGGGTGGCGAGCGCGGTGTGAGCCCATCGAGGTGGGATGCAGAGGGTTTGCTGGCCAATCTCTATGCAGGGCGTACAACATCCTGGGCATCATAGGGGCCATTAAGCGAAGGGCCATCAAAGAGGTCACGGAGTCAGCAGAAGTTGCCTCAAGGTGGCTGTGGATAAGGAGAGGAGAACCATGGGTGAGGTAGGGCTACCTGGACACAAGTTGGGGCCTGATCAACCCCAGCTGGGTCGCCTGGGTGAGAGTGTATGATGCTTGAAAGACCCGAAACACTCTGTGACCCCAGGTAACATCACTGATGATGTGTCCAGGTTGCATCAAGTTGATGTATGTTACAAGATATTAAGTAGTATTTTTTCATATTTTGTCCTTGATTGACTTCACTTATAGGCTTAAAGAAAAATAATAAAGCTGTGAGTTTTCTGATGATAATCTGTAAAAATGTATAATATCTCAAAAAAAAAAATTATATCATATTTAAGTAACAATATTTGTTGGGGCCTAACATATTTTACAAAATTAATATTGCTTGAATAGTGTTTGGAACCATCAAATCTAAAAAAAATAATAATAAAGTAAAATATAAAATATATATATTCTATAAAATGTATTATATAGAAATACAATTTTAGTCTATAATTAGTAGGCTATATTTCATTTACCTTATTTATTTAAATAATTTTTTATAATGATATTTAAATATAGAAATTGCAGTAGGTTTATTGAAAACTTTTAAAGTGCTCATTATGTAAATCTTAATGTCAATAAAATAAAATGCACAGTGACATAAATATAGAAATATTGAAAACTAATAAAGCTTTGAATTAGTTTTATTTATTTATGATAATCTGAAATAAAAAAATCACAAAAATTGTGTGTGGGTCTAAGATATTTTACAAAAAGATACTATGGAAAATGCATTATTGTTGGTTTAACTTAAAAAAAGTAAATTACCTGGTTGCCTTAACATTTTGAGTTCATTGAAATTAAACATTTGAGTTAATACAATGGCGATTGGAATGCAAACTCAAAATATTATGTTATCTGAATCCCATTAATTAGGCCTATCTAAGTTGATATGACAAAAGAAAAAAGTTGTGATAAATCATGAAATATTTTTTACAGTGCCATATCAAGTCTATATTCACTATCAAAATTATAATTAAAACCTTAATACTGATTATTATGGCCCCAAATTATAATTGTCCAATTTTTAAAAGTGTCACGTTTTAGATCAGAATAGTGTAAAATGACCTACATATCTTGGTTTAGATCAGAGTTAGGCCTATTAATTCCAAGTCAGCTTCTCTCATGTGATCCTTCAGCCTGGTGCGAAAGGTTCACAGTTCGGCTTCAGATTCAGCACACAGCCCTGCTATATTTGGCACTCCGAATTTGCAACCTATCGAGAAGCCAGTGGAGTGAGATTAGACTCTCAGCAATTACAGTTTACAGCAGAGCCACGGACGGGGACGAGCAGAGCACGTCATGCTCGAGTCCGCGTGTGAAGACGTGACGCGACCCCAGTATTAACACCATAAAATGAACCTTTACAGAGAAACACACACAGCAGCACTCGTGATCACGGCATGAAATCGCAGTCGCCGAGGGCGTTGGACGCCACTAAATATGATAAATAAGTATATATCGATGAAAATATATACGACAGCGTCTCAGACTCCCTGAAGAGATGTTTATAGTGTGACGACTGTTTGCTCAAGTAAGTTTCAGGTAAGACTGTTAACTTACAAAACAGTGTTTATTCTTGGTTTATTACCTTTTCAACAGGTGTGTACCGGTGTGTACCGCTGTGAGTCAGTTTTATGGCGGAGAAGAGATAAACGTACAGCCACAAAGACTATTAAAGTACAGAATAATGGCGTTGGCTTTCACTTGGTTTGTGAACGTGTTTTTGTGTTTGTTAGTCGCTAAAGGTGCCAGAAATGCTCATTGTCATAATTAGGGAGTGATTCCTGTGGCTTTTATTCGTAGTAAAGTCATACAGACCACATGTTTGATTAAACTCTGATACAGCAGAGAAGTCAGTGGCACTGAAATAATCATGTGGTTAGAAATAGGCCTAAGGGAAACAGTTTTATTTGAATGAACTGATAAAGATGTTTGCACTCTTTTTGGTGGTAATGTCAGGACATATTGACTGATTATGTTAAGTACACCGCTTCAGTTCAGCATTACAAACCAGACTGATCTGAAGAACCACCATTCCCAGTTTACTGGGCCTGTAATACACTGGTAACTACAACTACAGAAGTAAAATATCGCCCTCTACTGTTTGAAAATTAGCATAAAAGAGGGTGATATTTATACCACTAACCACCAGGTACGTTTCATTTTAGTTTGTGCCAACCCTGTATATATATATGTGTGAACAATTATGTAAATAAAAATAAAAATGTTCTATATGTATGATCTATGTTGCTATATATATATATATATATATACACTCACACACCACATACTTTTACTCATAAATATTTTAATATAATTAATTAAAAAAATAGTTGTTTAATATATTAATATTATTTAAAATATATATAATTTTGACATTAGTTATACAAATAAAATGTATCAAATAGATATATTTATGTACAAATATATATATATATATATATTATATATATACAAAATGTACAAAAATATATATATAAAAAAATAGGTATATAAAAAATGTATATATTTATGTTGCTATTATATATATATATATCCTATAATTATATAATCTATACACTTACATACATATACATATTTTTAATGCAATTAAAATAGTCTAAATATCTATCCATCTGTCATCTATTTATCTATCATCTGTTATCCATCTGAAAATAATAATTTGGACATATATATATATACATATATATATATATATATAATTCAAACAATTCATTAACATATTTCAAGCATAGCCATAGTAGATCATGTCAGTTTAATATCAAAAGAGACATTTGAGTTATTCTGCAGTGTTAATGCCTGTTTCATCTGGGTCAGTAGAAGAGAGTCCTAAAGGAGATTCAGTTTCATCGAGAAATTAAATGTAAACTTACAACCCATTGTAAACATTCTTATTAATAAGCAGTAAGCACTATAAACTGCAGAGAAAGAGACGTTAGAGTATATCATGAATAATCTCCTATTTTGGAGCCTCACCTTTTTTTTTGTGGTGCTTTTTATCCATAAGCACTGAATATTTGATTCTTTCTAGTGTTTGAATAAGTGCATGTTCATAAAATTACATAGTATTATACATGTGATTCATAGTTTAAAACAAAACAACTACAAAAGAAAGTTGTACCACAATTTTGAGTGCAAAAACATAATTTGGTCATCATGAACACAAACATTACGTAACTGCTCCCAACAGTTTTCATCAAAGTCTTTCTTCCTGAGTGCTGATTGGTCAAAAGTGTGTGCAAAGTATTTTATGTGACCAATCATCCGAGGTTTGAGGTATGCAGGTGCTGATACGTGATCAGTTCCGGTCTGTGATTGGTTGTTAGAATTGTTGGTCATTGTGAATGATACCGTTCAGAAGCTGCAGTGCCTCGTCGACACTGTCTGTGTGTCTGAAAACTGGAAGATCAGCCGTCAACAACACCTTTAATACTGACGGCTGAGACACAGAAAAAGAGAGATATCAAGAAAACTTTACATTTATAGACATCAAATGTTAAATGCATTCAAATGACAAACAGGCTATATTCTTAATTATAATTCTTTTTTAAATACAGGTCCTTCTCAAAAAATTAGCATATTGTGATAAAGTTCATTATTTTCCATAATGTAATGATAAAAATTAAACTTTCATATATTTTAGATTCATTGCACACCAACTGAAATATTTCAGGTCTTTTATTGTTTTAATACTGATGATTTTGGCATACAGCTCATGAAAACCCCAAATTCCCGTCTCAAACATTTAGCATATTTCATCCGACCAATAAAATAAGTGTTTTTAATTAAAAAAAAAAAAAAGTCAACCTTCAAATAATTATGTTCAGTTATGCACTCAAAACTTGGTCGGGAATCCTTTTGCAGAAATGACTGCTTCAATGCGGCGTGGCATGTGGGCAATCAGCCTGTGGCACTGCTGAGGTGTTATGGAGGCCCAGGATGCTTCGATAGCGGCCTTAAGCTCATCCAGAGTGTTGGGTCTTGCGTCTCTCAACTTTCTCTTCACAATATCCCACAGATTCTCTATGGGGTTCAGGTCAGGAGAGCTGGCAGGACAATTGAGCACAGTAATACCATGGTCAGTAAACCATTTACCAGTGGTTTTGGCACTGTGAGCAGGTGCCAGGTCGTGCTGAAAAATGAAATCTTCATCTCCATAAAGCTTTTCAGCAGATGGAAGCATGAAGTGCTCCAAAATCTCCTGATAGCTAGCTGCATTGACCCTGCCCTTGATAAAACACAGTGCACCAACACCAGCAGCTGACATGGCACCCCAGACCATCACTGACTGTGAGTACTTGACACTGGACTTCAGGCATTTTGGCATTTCCTTCTCCCCAGTCTTCCTCCAGACTCTGGCACCTTGATTTCCGAATGACATGCAAAACTGAGCAACAGTCCAGTGCTGCTTCTCTGTAGCCCAGGTCAGGCGCTTCTGCCGCTGTTTCTGGTTCAAAAGTGGCTTGACCTGGGGAATGCGGCACCTGTAGCCCATTTCCTGCACACGCCTGTGCACGGTGGCTCTGGATGTTTCTACTCCAGACTCAGTCCACTGCTTCCGCAGGTCCCCCAAGGTCTGGAATCGGTCCTTCTCCACAATCTTCCTCAGGGTCCGGTCACCTCTTCTCGTTGTGCAGCATTTTTTGCCACACTTTTTCCTTCCCACAGACTTCCCACTGAGGTGCCTTGATACAGCACTCTGGGAACAGCCTATTTGTTCAGAAATTTCTTTCTGTCTTACCCTCTTGCTTGAGGGTGTCAATGATGGCCTTCTGGACAGCAATCAGATTGGCATTCTTACCCTTGATTGCGGTTTTGAGTAATGAAACAGGCTGGGAGTTTTTAAAAGCCTCGGGAATCTTTTGCAGGTGTTTAGAGTTAATTAGTTGATTCAGATGATTAGGTTAATAGCTCGTTTAGAGACCCTTTTCATGATATGCTAATTTTTTGAGACAGGAATTTTGGGTTTTCATGAGCTGTATGCCAAAATCATCAGTATTAAAACAATAAAAGACCTGAAATATTTCAGTTGGTGTGCAATGAATCTAAAACTTATGAAAGTTTAATTTTTATCATTACATTATGGAAAATAATGAACTTTATTACTATATGCTAATTTTTTTAGAAGGACCTGTATATATATTTTTAGACTTGTTTTTATTTTTCATTTATTGTATTTTTTCCAAATTTATGATTATTTTATTTAACTTCTAACCTATTTAGATTTAGGTTAGAAGTTAATGCATCTATTTATTTATGTTACTTTATAAATAAACTTTATCTAGGTTAATGCATCTATTTATTTATATGTGATATTAATACATTTACATATAAAAGAACAATATATTATATTTTTTCCCAAATGCATTAAACATTAAGTAGTATTTTTAAAAGAAATAGTAAAAAAATTCTATACACAATAGAATATTAAATGTGTTATAAATGCCTTAAATAATATATTTTCTTAATTATAAAATACATTTTTAATGTTTTTTTTATATTAAAAATGTGCCCTTTTTAAAGCTGTAAATAAGCTAAAATGTTTTTTTCAGTTTTACATTAAAAAATATTTTTTATACATGCCATATGTTAAACACATTTCAAATGACTCAAATTATTTATTTCCTTAATTGTTATGAAATTCTTAATTGAATATAAAATATATTTATCATATGTATTGTATTCATTTTACTTTTAATACTTAAAAAAAAAAAGGTAAACTAAAGTTATGTAAAAATAACCATGATTATTCGCTTTTTGTAAAAGGGTAAAAAAAACAACTATATTAATTGATTTTATATTACATAATATACAGTAGTCAACATTTAAAGTGGATAAAAAAAATTCATCAAAGTTGTCCTAAGACAAGAACGGGTGTTGTTAAAAATTCATGCATAACTTTGATGAAAAGTTTTGATCCACTTCAAATGTTGACTACTGTATATATTTATATGTTAATATATATATTTGAAAAATTCTTAATTCATATATATATATATATATAATTTTATTTATGAATAAACATTTTTAGTAAATGTGATCTTAATGTCATAAATGGAGATGTTAACTGTGTTCTGTTGATGATAAACTCTACCTTTAGTCCAGTGAAGATCAGTGATAGTCCCGTCAACTGGAACTGTTTGAGCAGTTCTTTGAGTTCATGGACTACAGTGAAGTCTATAGAGCTGACATGAGAGCAGTTGAGAACCAGACACCGTGGAGGAGACGCTGCCAGACAACACACACCAGAGCATGAGCACTCAAGGACATGAGCCGAGGGAATGAAAGCGTGTGTGTGCGTGTGTCTCACCATGAAGAGCGTGTGTGTACACGAGTCTGCTGAGATGCTCCGTCACGGGGAAGTTCAGCCCACTGTCCAACTCTAGAACTGACACACCGTGATCAGACACCTGAACACACACCAGCGACACCTGACTCTCTGACTGCTGCATGCGGCTCATTTTACAAGAGGTGACATTTTCATACTTGCACTTCATTTCATATTTATTTTGAAATAAATATACCATTCATTTCTTTTTCTTTCTAAGCAACAGAATAATATTTTAATAGATTCATCATTTGTTTCTACTAACAGCAACTGAAATGCATTTAACTTTTTTTTTACAAAATCATAAATATTTTATTGTATTATTTAATAACAGTTAAATAATATGTATTCATATTTAAACAGTATATATATATATATAATTTTATTTTTTATATATAAATACTTAACTTTATATAAATCTTAAAAATATGTATATATACATATTCATTATATAAACAAATCTAAAAATTTTAATATTTTTAAAATAATTATAAATACAGTATAATTGCATGTCTTTGAACTAAAATGCATTTACCTTATTTTAGAATTATTATTTGTGCATACACATGCTAATTCTTTTTAATACTTCATATTTACATTTTTTACATATATATATATATATATATATTCACACACACACAATGTTAAATGTTTTAAATGACTCGAATAATTTCTATTTTTAATTATAATATAATTAAATACTATTTAATTGTATTACATACTTAAAATAAACTATAATAGCTATGATTATTTTAATCTACTCACAGTCCTATTATAAATTAATTATTTATTAATTAATATAATTTTATCTTATTTGATTTTTTGAGTCTACACTTTAATACATTTTGCATAAATTGTTGATTTTATGGTAATTTCTACTTGCAAAAATGCCAAATCTCAAACAGAAAGTGCATTTCTGGAATAAAAGTCCTTCATTTGCGGCTCACAGTTGACATATCGTATACAGCTATTTCATAAACAATAAACACTTAAAACTGACCTTCACTTTAGGTCGGGCCATGATGTACAACAGCATGAGAGCAGAAACAGCTACACCTCCCACAATGCCGTACTGCACCTCCCAGAAACTCACCAGAAACGTCACCATGAACGGCACCAGATCAAGTCCTGAGAGAAACAATGAAAGAAAGAATAAAAAATAAATGTATATGCAAATTCAAATGTGATACTATATAAATATTTCAATATATACCTTTTTTTCCAAATATATACCATATATTTTACATACTTAAATATTATACAGTATATTATATTTGATATTTATATATAATGTGATGCTAAAGTCTCACTCTTGACTCTCCAGAGCTGGACAGGCACTCTGAAGTCCATCATGGGACTCACGGCACAGATGATGACGGCAGCGAGCGACGCTTTAGGGATGAAGAAGAACAGCGGCATGAGGAACGCCAGCGACAGCAGCACTATAACACCTGCGGACAGATACAGACTTTCAGATGGTATACATATTATAAATGTCAACAGGATCACAAAAAGTGTGAGTGTCACCTGTGACAATCCCTCCAGCCGGCGTTCTCACTCCGGTCTGGGAGTTAACAGCCGTTCTGTCAGAAAACGCCACATAAAACACTTACAAACTGAAGAACAGACCAACAGACACTTTAAAGTATTTACAATATTTCACATAATTATTTGACATTGTTGCAGCACCTGTCTTCCCAGTCTGTCAGTAACAATCCGTGTCTCTATGAAGCCCCTCCTTCCGAAAAGCTCAATGTGCTCTGATTGGTTGGATGTATCACTGTGTTGTGATTGGCCAAGCACTTTGAGTGTGTAAGCCACGCCCCTTACCATAACCGTGAGTTTCAACACACTACTAACTCAACTCAATCAGGCCCCGCCCCCTTTATGTTGCATATGCCTTGGGCGGGAATTATGTAAATGAGGAATATTGCGACGTGTGCATACGTTCCCGGAGGAAAACTCAAGCCTACAATTGAGGAGTTTCAGGGAGTTCAGAAACAGTGCGCACTGATAGAGAATAACTCTCAGGAGTGACTTTGTACTTTGTAACTTTGCAGACCTTTTTCATGCTCAAACTGCAACATTACACACTAAAGAATGTGTAAAAAAAAAAGTGTTTAGCATGCAGACAGACCTTCCGAAGCTGCCCGTGACGGGATACGCCGACACAAACGAGCCCATGATGTTTGTGAGACCTGTAGGAACATCATTGTGATGAGAAACGCCCCATTTATACTCCGTTAAAACCTAATAAGGGAGCAGAAACTCTCACCGATGGCAAAGAGCTCTTGGTTGGCATCAATTCGGTAGTTATTCTGGCTGCCTGCATGAAGAAAAGACAGTAAAATGAATCCAAACGGTGTCTGTGTTTATATATACATAGAAGAAAGGACACGTCTAGGTGTATTTTAAAGAAAATAAGATCTTACCGAATGCCTTTGCAATAGCGATGCTCTCTAAAACGCCCATTAAAGGAATGACAGCCAGACCGCCACCTAAATCCTGAGAAAATACACCTGATTGGTCAGTAATGATAACTAATCTACTTGATTGGCCACTTAAAATCTCTAAAATGTCACATATACTTCACTAGTATTGTAGGTGTTACTTCACTGTATTGTAGTGTTATATGAGGGTTCAATATTTTGGGGTCCACCAAGAGGCCACAAGGGGGTGCCAGAGGGTGCTTTTAAAATATACCGGTAATATTACAAAATATTTTATTATTCTATTGACAGAACTAGTTTTTAATATTAAGAAATAAACACAATTTTTTTTTGTTTCATTTTAAAAGTTTATACATCTGAAATTAACAGATGTATAAGAATGTATAAACAGATGCAGAAGAATTATTTTCTTAAATATATTTAATAGGACTTAGTACAGTGACAATATAAAACTTTAAAATATTTGTAAAATAACATAATATTAAGAACATGTGTTATATTAAGAATATGTATATATATTTATTTTAAGATGTATTTGACATTTAATGAATATTAAAATATTTGTAATGTTTCAATATTTTATATATACAATTTAACATTTCATGTGTTTAGATCATTTATATTTTTAATTATAAATCTAAATTAAATATAATTGTATTGTATTATATCTTTTCTAAACTTTTTTTTACTGAAAACAAGAATAATCTTTATTATCTCAATCTACTGGCAGTCCTATTGTAAAAATGAATGGCTTATTAATAATGTATTTCTTAATATAATTGGGCAGTATTTGATTTTTTTAGGGTACACTTTTTTGATAGGGGTCCTTAGCATCAAAAACTGAAATCTTTTTACCACAAACTACACTACTATATCTCACCTTTGCGATGTCACTGAAAGTAATCACCGTGCCATTGGCTATGGTCTCTGAAAGGGGCGGAGCTTTAAAAGGAGGGAGTCCTTTGGCGGTTTTCCCGGTGAGACTGAAGAAATGGTGTCCTGTGACCTCTGAGGAATACGCGACAGCCGTCGCCGCTACGACGACCAGAGCGTTCTGGACTGCGGACACAAGAAGGATGTCCCTAAATAATTGTCAGTTCATTTATAGATTCACAAAGACTTTAAGCACTCACTAGTAGCTATACTCCACACCAGCCCTCGAGCTGATCGGACAAGGGAAGGAGCCTCATCTTCAGCAGAACCCAGAGAATTCTTCATCAGCGTCATCATGATCAGGAAGAACAGACAGCACAGGCCCAGAATCACATCTCCAACTCTGAGAATAGAGATCATTTAGACAGGCAGCTTAGAACATATTTAAAGTGTCCCTATTATGGTTTTTCAAATAATTCCTTTCATGTAGTGTGTAATATAGTTGTTGTGAAAGTAAAATGTCTGAAAAGTTTCACAGATCAAAGCAGATAAATGGAGTCATTGTCTCTCAATAGAAAGAATCAAATCTGAACTGCTGAAACGAGTCGACAGTCAATCCAGTCTTACTTCTTGCATTAACCTACGTAGGTTTGTAACACATTTGCATGATACCAGCCTATGGTCTTTATTGTTGTCGACATGTCGAGAAGACGCTGTTTTCAGCACTGCTAATCTACTTTGCTGCACTTTCCAAGGACGAGGACTTGCGCTCAAATTAATACGGTAAAACTGACAACATCGCTACTGTTCGTATCACTGTGTATCAAGTGCTGAGGAAGATCTGGATGTCAAATTCAGACTGGGTCATCTGACCAACAGAGCAGAGTAGACCAATCACAACAGACTGGGTCATCTGACCAACAGAGCAGAGTAGACCAATCACAACTGACTGGGCCATCTGACCAATCAGAGCAGAGTAGACCAATCACAGCAGACTGGACCATGTGACCAATCAGAGCAGAGTAGACCAATCACAACAGACTGGGCCATCTGACCAATCAGAGCAGAGTAGACCAATCACAACAGACTGGGCCATGTGACCAATCAGAGCAGAGTAGACCAATCCCAACAGACTGGGTCATCTGACCAATCAGAGCAGAGTAGACCAATCACAACAGACTGGGCCATCTGACCAATCAGAGCAGAGTAGACCAATCACAGCAGACTGGGCCATGTGACCAATCAGAGCAGAGTAGACAAATCACAACAGACTGGGTCATCTGACCAATCAGAGCAGAGTAGACAAATCACAGCAGACTGGGCCATGTGACCAATCAGAGCAGAGCAGACCAATCACAACAGACTGGGTCATCTGACCAATCAGAGCAGAGTAGACAAATCACAACAGACTGGGCCATCTGACCAATCAGAGCAGAGTAGACCAATCACAGCAGACTGGGCCATGTGACCAATCAGAGCAGAGCAGACCAATCACAACAGACTGGGTCAACTGACCAACAGAGCAGAGTAGACCAAAGGTGTGTTCGACATCGGCTGCGGCTGGATGTAAGCGATCGGCGAGAGTAGCCGCGTGCAGGCGGGGAGGAGCTGCAAACGGAGACGTGAAGTCGGACACTTTCTGGTTCCCGTAGTGACCGCTCGTGGTGTTTGTATACTTTACCACAGCTGAAGTGAAATAAATTCAATATTTGCCAAATGCACAGATGTTTCAGACACATTTTCATTCAATACTTTATGTACTGCTTCATACTGCATCTGTTTGAACAAGAATAAAGTTCAAAATAGCCACTATCAATGAAGTGCAGTCGACGTTTTTTAATCACTTTTATTTTGATAAACATAACACAATATAGCCTAACATCACGACTACATGAAAAGAGTGTTTACTGTTATAAAAAACTGATTTGTGTGAACTAAAGGTGTGAGAATAAACACGAAACGCACGTGATCGTTGTCATGCGGTGAATCCGGCCAATCGTGGAACAGCTGTGTCGTCATCAGAGCTCGTGCAGCCCAGAGCAGCCGCTCTTCAGAAGCTGCGCTGGCTGAGTCCTCCGGCTACTCTCGAATCGCTCTCGCGGTACTTTGATGGCATACGTCACAGTCACGTGGCGTCGGCGCTGTATCAAGTCGGACAAAATTTCTAACCGGCATGCACTGCTTCAAGTCTGCCGCCGATCGGTCTGGGCAGAGCTGCATGAAGTCGAACAAGCCTCAAATCACAACTGACTGGGTCATCTGACCAACAGAGCAGAGTAGACCAATCACAACAGACTGGGTCATCTGACCAATCAGAGCAGAGTAGACCAATCACAACAGACTGGGTCATCTGACCAATCAGAGCAGAGTAGACCAATCACAACAGACTGGGCCATCTGACCAATCAGAGCAGAGTAGACCAATCACAGCAGAGTAGACCAATCACAACAGACTGGGCCATGTGACCAATCAGAGCAGAGTAGACCAATCCCAACAGACTGGGTCATCTGACCAATCAGAGCAGAGTAGACCAATCACAACAGACTGGGCCATCTGACCAACAGAGCAGAGTAGACCAATCACAACTGACTGGGTCATCTGACCAATCAGAGCAGAGTAGACCAATCACAACTGACTGGGTCATCTGACCAATCAGAGCAAAGTAGACCAATCACAACAGACTGGGCCATCTGACCAACAGAGCAGAGTAGACCAATCACAACAGACTGGGTCATCTGACCAATCAGAGCAGAGTAGACCAATCACAACAGACTAGGTCATCTGACCAATCAGAGCAGAGTAGACCATTCACAACAGACTGGACCGTCTGACCAATCAGAGCAATTCCTCTCTGAAAAAAGGGGTTTAGAGAGACTGAATCCTTTATTGAACCGTTTCAGACCCTGTGAGAAATTAGGTGATGCTACAATGTGTATTATGAGAAAATTAAAGTGTTTTCTTAACTTGAATGCATGTAAACCTGTTGTAGGAACCTTGAAAATAGCATAATGGTGGCACTTTAACACTACCGGGATTAGAAAATGGTGACAGCTCATTGGTCAATCACATACAGTACATGTGTGCTCACCTGGCCTCAGGGATCTTGTGGAAGGTGTAGTAAACCTGCAGGAAGAACTGCTGTGGAATCTCCTTCAGACCCAGAATATTCTGCAGAACAAATGGAGTGGATTGACTCAGGACACAAAAAGCTCCTCACAAATCTTCAAGGACATTCAAGATATATGCAACTAAAGTGAAAAGAGGCATCTGAGACTCTCACCTTGACCTGGCCGAAGCCGATAGTGACGGCCGCAGCACAGGTGAAGCCTTTAATTACTGGATATGAGATGAAGTCCAAGAGGAACCCTAATTAAGAAGAAATCAACAGCAGATCAGGTGACTGACCGTAATAAAACACATCAAAAACTTTTGAAGTTGCAAACATTTAATTGAGTAAAAAAAAAAAAAATGAATTAATTAATTAATTTTAAAAACGACACAATTATAAAAGATGTTAAAATGTGTATTATGTTAATAATAATTATTATATATATATATATATATATATTTCTCTCACAAATATTCAACTCAGCTTTAATTTTAAAGCTAAAATACATTTAAAAGTTATAATAATAATAATTATTGTTTATATTATTAATAATGTATAAATATATTTATATATACAAATTACATTTCATTTTATTATTACTCACAATGCATATGAAAAGACCTCAAATTGTTAATATAATTATAATAATTACTAATATTATTATTGTTAATTTTAGATTTTTTTATTGCTTATGCAAACAACATATATTTCTGTAGTTGAGTTTCTTCTGCGGTAAAGATTTATCAGCTTCATCTATTAGTTATGTAATTAAGCCACTTCCACAACCTCGGCTACCACGTTCTTAAAAACCTGTTGCTATATTTTGGTGTGCGGCTTAAAGGCATGAACAGGAAGTTGCACAGGAAGTAATACAATCTGATATTTCTGTGAGAGTGAAAAAAAACACCAACTTCCTGTTTTCAAGATACTGATTTACAGACAGCTGAGTCTGCTACTTTAGTCATGCTTACAGAAACACATGACTGTTTAAACAATACTAATACTACATTAACCAAACAGACAATCTAACTTAGATTTGACCATGAATCACACCAACATAGAGCAAAAATATGGCTTAAATGTAAACATTAACCCCATTTTCCATCTTACCCAGCCTCAGTAGAGCCATTCCCGCCTGGATGACGCCGCACAACAAGGTGAGCACCACAGCGAACACAGGATCTCCACCGATATACCCCGAACACAGCAGCGACATGATGGCCGTCGGGCCCAGCGTGATGTCTTTCGACGTGCCAAATATACAGTAGACGAAACAACCCATGAACGCAGAATACAGGCCGTACTGAAAAACAAAGAAACAGCGTGTCAAGAAAACCTTCCCCAAACTGCGTCTGTGAGAGAACGTGAATGTTCTCACCTGCACAGGTAAACCAGCCACCTCCGCATAGGCCAGCGCCTGAGGAACGGTGGTCAACCCCACCGTCACACCGGCGATCACGTCCATCTTCAAACACGTAAGGTTATACCTGGGCAGCCAGGAGAGGATGGGGAAACAAGAGCGCAGGCCGGCATTCCAGCGGATTCCTGTCAGAGGCTCCATCAGATCTTCAGATCCACCACTAGTCAAGGGGAACACAAAGAGCTGTCCTGCTTCATCCGGGACACTTTTTTATTCAAGGGTGTGGACGAGCAAAGGGTTCATTAAGGGTGGAGCACTGGATCTGGTGCTCTCTTGGGCCGTGTGGTGTTCAAACCCTCGAGATCCAGAAACACTCCTCTTGCTTCTCCATAAGTGATTTGTGAAAGTAAACCTGTGAACAATTGAACACCATTAGTTCGTCAAACTGCGAACCTCAAACTACAAGACAGCCTGACAGCAGCTATAAAATGCTTGATAACAAGATTCAGCACTTCTGATTGTGAAATCACTCTTTAAATAACGAAATGCAACTTATATATATACCCTTTAGAAAAATAGTAAAATTGCTAACTTCATGTATAACTATATTAAAATGAATGTCATGTATTTTGCATTACAGTACAAAAAAACCTAATTAAAGGATTATTAAAAATATTCAAAGTAACATTATTTCAGTTTATTTTTGCATTACCTCACCGAGATACATTACAGTAACAAAAAAGAAAAATCGAAATGTTACTAAAAATACCCTTAAAAACTGATTACTGCAGATTACTGATATGACTACACGAGTCATATCATGACATTTTAATCCAGTGTGCTTTATGAAACCACAGGGTAAATCGAAGAACAAGTATCTGAAAAAAACACATCAAAAATAAATAATAATAATCATAATATCGTTTAAAAACTGTTTGGAAATCGTATTTACAAACCAAACCAACGTTAGATGAGATCAATGATCAGACATCAGAGCCACAATGCGAATTCAAGTTTAAGATCAAACCTCAGAAATGACTTCGAGCCTCGTACTTCATCGGAGTGGACACATTCCACGGACGTAATTTCATTATATACATAAAAAAAAATAAAGATACTCATTGAAATCAAAGCGACTTTGACGTGTATCGCGTTTTTTTTGTTTTTTTTTTGACAGGCTGATAAACAGCCCTTTGTGACATCGGCGGCGACGCGCGACGCGATTGGCTGAAGCTTTGCGTCAGCTGAT